GTGGGATTCGAACCTACGACCTTTGGAATACTAGCCCAATGCTCTGCCAACTGAGCTACGCGGTCTGGTCGGTTCGAGTATGTGATATTTCGGAACAGGATCTAGTTCCTTCGATATCAATGTTATCTAATAATCATGATTTTTTCTGAAAAAGAAAAAATCATGATTATTAGATTACATTGATATCGAAGGAACTAGATTCTGTTCCGAAATATCACATATTCGAACCGACCAGACCGCGTAGCTCAGTTGGCAGAGCATTGGGCTAGCATTCTAAATGTCGTAGGTTCGATTCCCACCGTGGTCAGGCATATTTTTCAAGCTTGCCCGGTGTGGATATACACTAAGAGTAACATCACAACCATCGTAGTGTTCCAAATGTTCTAGAACAGTAAATGGAGCAGCCTGAATGGGTCATCATGCACTTCAATACTTTATCATGATAATAAATTATTATGAATTCATTATTGTGTGTAGTGTACAGTATATATAGGTATACACAATATGCGTATATTCTCTGACCAAAGGCGCGGTAGCGCCGTTTCAGGCGGTAGAGCGGGGCGAGGATACTAATTCCGCTTGGCTATTAAATGTTTTTAAAGTTCCATCCTTTCGAAATATTTCTAATTGTTTGCAGTGAAATGGGAATAAATAGACAGTCGCTATATGACTCATTTTGTATCTTTTATAATTAAATAATTTGCTTTTTAAAAAGTATTTGGCCGTGCTGAAGCGCAATATTAAACAACGATAAAATCTATAACGTTGCAGATTTGAATAGTAAAACAGATAGAATTGTTTTAATTAATTGACTTTTTTGTTGTCATGTCTATGTCCAACCTCGTCCCCAGGGTCTTCTTCGTGCATGGCGCGTGAAAAATGAAAAGACCCTGGTAAAGGCTCTTCTAAACTGCGTTGTGATTGGTTTATACATTTGACCTTGACATGTGCTTTCAGGATATGTTGTTGTAATGAATATGATTGGTTTACCGCTAAATACTTCTTGTAATGAGCCCTACGATTGGTTGCATGATTTATAAGGATTTTCACAACAATTTGTTTGTAGTAAAATGGATCCTTCGCCAAGGCGCGAAGCTCGTTTCTGGCAAATATTTTCCAACTTTTAGCCTAATGTCAGGCACAATATATAATGGAAATCGTAGTGCGAATATAGACATCATTTTGGTACTTCAAAGTTGAGACAGCTTATGTTCACATCGTTATCGACGGTATGAATATATACACACACACTGTATTATCAAACAAACCACAGAACCATTTGCGTTTGTGACGTTTTAGTTCCTCTCAAATACTACCACTTGTTTAAACTAGTACTAAAACCTCTTGTCTGCTTCATGTGACAGTTTAATTTCAGTCTCAGATGAATATGCATTTTTATAGGAGAAATAGACGCACAGAACGATTGCTGTTTGTATAGCTTAATTGTTATATGTTTAAAAATTATAATAAAATAAGCAGTTCTTGCTGGGCTCATAGGACACCAGGAAATTTGAATAAAAACGAATCTAAGATCCTATGCAATATTAAAATTTTGGTTATGTCAATAATATGTGCCACTGCAGCCAACTGTTGGAGCACAGCTACTTGAATTTTCCACAAGAATGGATGCCACTGACCTCCACAAATGGAACATTTAAAATATATTCAACATAACTATAAAATTATTTTCAGTTAAATCTAGCATTAGTGTTACACTGTAAATCATCCATAATTATCACAGGTGTACAGAAAGTACACTTTTCAACCCCTCCCACAGCGACTTAACCGATGATGGTGGGTTTTATAGTTCAACATTTTAAAAAGCGTATATTGGTTATGAACCTGCCTACCTGAAGCATATAAGTTTGTACACTTCAGGAAATGTTGGTAATTATGGACAACCCAAAATTGAATTTCATTAGCCTTTACATCATTATGAATTACCATTTGCATGCATGTAACACTAACAGCATGACTTTATTCCATACCATATAGGAAAAATTGAATACATCTATCCTGCAGAGCTAGTACAAATTTACATTAGCAACTAATGAATCAGTGAGGGAGGTATAATAAAGCAAGTGTTTAAATAAATGCAGCGAAATCAAAATTGTTTGTCTCCACACTACACTTCGTCATCAATGGACAGCTCAATGAAAACAAATGTTGTGGACAACTATGGTTTGGACATTGCAGGCTAGCTGCACATTTTGCAATGATGCACATGCAGATCGGCTGTTGAAGCATGAATGAAATCGATTTCAAAAAAGCTCTAAGGCTTACTTTTTGAAATGACTGAGAATGGGTCATTCCAGAAAACATCCATACCACCCCCACAGAGAAAATAGGAAGTTAACCCCCTTCAGATGTCCTAATACATTTACTATTAGCAGAAACAATTTTTTCTCACATCCCCCTCCGGACGGCAGAAATTTCCTCCATGGGGGGAGTATGGATCTTTTCTGGAACGACCGAATTCATTTTCCATGTTAGTGAGAGTTCCTATCAGCCGCATGTGAGGATGCATATTACCACCTCTTTTCTTTACCCTTGCGCAGTACAGAGAACGAAAAATAAAGACCAGATTTTGAACCAAGTAACTTTGTTATTTAACTTAAAACAGCACTGTATATATAACTTTAAATACTGTAAAAAATGAAATATCAGCTAAATACTAATTCAGTAAGAATTGTCTTGGTATGGAAATATCTCGTTCTGTTGTATATGCATTGTTGAATTGCCATGTCACTTTCTTGAGTATTACCAGAATATTAAGTATAGTTGAGCCAGCTTCCTAATATTATGGAATCTAGGATAGTTGTTGACTTTGCGGTTTTCTTAATAATCTCATATTAGCAACATCCCTAGATGCGAAGACTATAACAGCATCCCCATCCCCATTAAGTTGTACATATACAGTTGCAGTCTTCTTGACAGTCCTTGTTTTATCCATATTGAAGTTTGAGAAGCATGAATATCTAAAATATAATACAATTGATTTGCATTTCATTCCACAAACTGGAAACCTAAATCTATATGTTAGGTCACTACAAGTTAATCTTTAGTTTCTGGTCCGCCGCCCGCGTCCTTTTTCCGTAAAGTATTATTTCAGGACTATTTTGTTGTTTACAATTAATTTCTAGTTCTTGAAAATTTTCGAGAAGCATTTAACTTATAAAACGATAAATATTCAATTTACACTAAAAAGACCTAGCAAAATGTAGTATTGAATCGTAAAAACCGCTGCCTTATCGAGATTACGAGGTAAAAAAAACTAGAATTATTAATAGATCATTTTGATATGTACAATCCTTTGTAATCTGTCATACATGTCGATTTATAAATAATATAAATGCAATTTATGTAAAATTTCATAACATTTTGATACAATTAGCATGAAAAGGAACAAGAAAGACCACAAAAATGTGGGCAAAACCACAATTGTAATTATGTCTTATAATCCTAACCACCCGCCCGCCCGCGTCGTAAACGAAGGTAAGGCCGGACCAGAAACTAAAGATTAACTTGTAGTGGCCTTACACTAAATCTATCCAATTAATTTATTCACAGTTGATTTATTTCTAATTGAGAGAGAAACATACTTACATAAGTTACATTGGAACAAAACTATCTCTAAACTGGTTGGCAATCCTTTAGTTTTACTGATTCACCATTCAGAGCACAATATAAACTCGCAATACAAATGAAATTTCTGCTGTCTTAAAGGGGATGGGGAAATGCACTTTTAGAATGGTAAAATGTACTAGGATGTGTAAAAAAAATTATGGGAGTTCTAATCTCCTATGTGAGAGCTGTGGATCTAAGGCAAATTATTTCACATGTAGGCACTTTGCATGCTCCAAGGGAATTATTAACATGCGATAATTTTTCGTCAAAATAACTTAAACAAGTGCCAACGTTCACAGTGTAAAATGGATTAGTGATGAGTCTATGGCCCACTAGTAAATTTTCATTATCAAATTATAATTTCTCAAAACTAAGCGCTTTAAAAAAATACTTTGTAGGCATATTAGCACCAGTCATAGGGCCATTATATGTTGAATTATAATATAAATAACAATAATATATTGTAGTTTTTCAATTACCTTCACAGTGACAGTGCTGTCAGACTGCCAGTGCAAGCAGCCGTGAGACATGACATTAACAACGCGGATTCTTATGCCAGGAAAATAAAAATTAGACGTGCTAGCTTCTTGTTATTTTCTCTCTCTAGACATTTTAATTTTTGAAGAGAAATTACTTATCTAGAGGTATATTTTAGCAAAAAAATACATTTCCAAACTGAAATATTTCATCTCAAGAAGGCCATGAAAAATTTGTACGCCAGCAATGAATTTGTCAGCGCCAAGGCAAATTCGCTTTTGCGCATGCACTAAAATGTCCATGAATCGTGGAGATTTTCACAGCCTTTACCAGCTAGGGTCTTCTCATTTTTCACGCGCCATGCACGAAGAAGACCCTGGGGACGAGGTTGGTCTATGTCTTTGATCGGTGTTGTAATAATTACACTGACGAATATCCACGAAGAGTATTTTATACATTCTAATACTTGGTACGTTCCCGAAAATGATCAAACATACATGTATTTATATACAGTATACAGGTATTCCATCGTGGAGTAAGGGTGTTGTATGCTTTCGTTTTTTCCTTGGAATGTTTGAATTGATGAGTCTGCATGTATACGCAAGAATGACTACGCGGTAATTGAATTTAATTGCCTCAAGCAGATGTTCGATTCAATCTGGATTTTATTTGTCAATTTAGAAATCGTGGACGAATTACTCGATGGAAGAAAATTTCAAAAGGTCATGTCATCATGGTTGCGCGATAGCGATTAAGACAAAAAATTACATACAAGTTTTAGTTATATATACATTCAGCAAAATTTAAATATTTTTAAAATAATTGTCTCTTGCTTTTTAAAAAAATATTTGGTCGTGCATGCCGATAGCCCTCTATTAACTAAATAACAATAAAATCTATAAAGTTGCAGATTTGAATAGATATAATTGTTTAATTGGCTTTTTTGCCCTGAGGGCTATTGAAATGCGGCAATTGAGATTGTTTTGCTGTCCTTTTGAAAGGAGGCGAGGATTCCCTATCAATGTGTTCTTTTGGTTGAGTGCCCCTGAGTTATCACTTCAATACTTCAGATAAAAAATTATTATGA